AGTGAGTGGTGCCGGGCTGGAAGCAATCGAGGCCCACTTCCTCCCCCGGGGGTTCTCCCTTTCCTGCTCCTGGAGGAATGGGGAGGAGAATCAAAAGAATGCAACTCCCACGGGTTGAGACAAGAACAGTTGAGCAACCAATGTACAACACAAATCACCACCGCTACCACCAACGACAACAATGATAAGAGAAATTAACAAGGGAAGAGAATTTGATACCACCCACCAAAAAACGAGTCCGACCCAGAAGACCCTGTGTCCTTCCGGGTAACTCCCAGTTACCCCCCCCGAGCATGATGTGCTGTGGTATGGAATACCTCTTTGGCTAGCTTGGGTCAGGTGTCCTGTCTCTGCTTCCTCCCAGCTTCCCCTCCTCCCTGGCAGAGCATGAGGCTCACAAAGTCCTTGGTCAGGGTAAACATTACTTAGCAACAACTGAAAACATTGGTATTATCAGCACTGTTCCCAAGCTGAAAGTCAAAACACAGCGCTGCACCAGCTACCAAGAAGGAGAAAAATTGACGGCTACTGCTAAACCCAGGACAAGAGGTCACCTCTGTAAGGGGAAGGCAAGCCAGTTCCAGGCAGACCTACCTCTGGCCAGAGCCCAGTACATCATCCTGTTTTTCTTACATGGAAACAAGCTTTTCATTGACAGTTTGTGTGTTCGGGTGCCCCGCTATCAAACAGGGAAGCCAAATGGTCCAAGGTCTAGTATCCACAGGCCAGTGGACAGAAATCACATGGAGCCTGAATACAGACATGTCATGGTTTAAACCCAGTCAGGTAATTCGTTCACCCACTTCCCCCCCTTTCTTGCCCTCCCCCTGCTCCCGGAGGGACAGAGAGGAGAATCGAAAAGAATGCAACTCCCACGGGTTGAGATAAGAACAGTTTAGTAACTAAGGTATAACACAGATCACTACTGCTACCACCAATGATAATACTGATAAAGGAAATAACAAGGGAAGAGAATACATCATCTCACCACCAGCCGACCGATAACTCGCCCCCCAAGCCCGACCAAGCTCCGACCGATACCTCCTCCAACCCTGCAGTCCCACAGCCCTTCTGGCTAACTCCCAGATACATCCTGGGCATGACGTGCTGTGGTATGGAATACCTCTTTGGTCAGTTTGGGTCAGGTGTCCTCTCTCTGCTTCCTCCTGGCCTCCCCTCCTCCCTGGCAGAGCATGAGGCTCACAAAGTCCTTGCCCAAACCAAAGCATTACTATCAGCTCTGTTCCCAGGCCGAAAGTCAAAACACTGCACTGCACCAGCTACCAAGAAGGGGAAAAATGACTGCTACTGCTGAACCCAGGACAAGACAGTATCCCAAGAAGGAATTAAATAAACTAAAGGAGGTGGGACATTCTCTCTTTCTTGGACATTTATTGCTACTTCTTTATTCTTTATATTACCAGTTATAATTCCACTTAAGGGAAGGATGTGGTTAACATGGATGATAGGAGAAACTCTCTAGGTTATTGTATTTTCATCTGTAGTCAGTTCAGGAAAGAGATAACCCTTACCCATAGCTAAAGCAAGTCTAACAGAGAAGAAATTTGAATGCAAATGGAACTTCTGAAATTAAAAACTGTTGACAAATCTGATCTTTGGTGTGTTTATGAGGTCTTAGGTGTACTTACACACACACATATAACTGTACTCATTTAAATTATTATATTGACTTCAATAAGATGTGTCAGAAATGTAATTCATTGTCACTGTGCTTACGCTGACCATTCATTCTATTGCATAGTCTCAAAAGATTTCATAATTTTTAAATAAGCATTTGGAAAGTTGGGAGATTTTCCTGCAATTGTTGGCTTCTACTGCCTTTTGACTTCAGTGCTACATGATAGTACACATATATTTAGTTGGCAGTGGTAAAAATACACAAAGATTATTACATGTTCCGTCTTCAAACAAGCTATAATCTGATATACTGTGATCCACTTCACTATCAGACTTATAAGAAAATAAAGTACAGATAAACTTTAATATGGCTTGACACTTGAAACTAAAAAGTTGTAAAATGTGTCTTTGGTTTTTAGTAGCTATGAAAAAAAAAAGATCTCCAACTAGCAATGAAGTCATGCTTGATGTCATTAGAGGTCTATATTTCCTGTCTGACAGATTTTAATGCCTTTTTTTTTCTTTTTTTTTAATGAGGTATAAGGTAAAATTCAGAAAAGCATTGCAATTGCTTTGAAGACTAAGTATCACTGAAAGTCAATTTAACTTTATAACTTTTGAAAAATGAACTTACAGGAAACTTGTCTCTGTCTAGTTGGCTGTAAAAAGATGTGGAAGCAAATCTGCTCTCTACTCTTTTAATCAGAAAAAAATGAGTTTGATGAATGTAGCACTTGCAAACAAAGGTGTTTAAATCAAAGCTTCCTATGATATAAGTAGGTTAAGCACAATTAAACAGAGTAAAGTAACACTATTCTTCTAATGCCCAAAATGGAAAGCCCCCAACACTCATTTTCCATATACATGACGGTATGGCAAGTTTCAAAAGCTACCAGACCAGGATTGCTTTTGAGTGAGGATGGCTCAGATTCATCTTGAAGGTCCTTTACGAGAATACACCTATCAATAACCATTCTTCTCTCTTTTTGAATGAAGGGGCACTAGCCTGGCTTACTGTAACGAACAGAGCCATAGAAGTATGATCTGAAGACAGAGGTGATCTCTCAAGCAAGACACTCCTGAGCTGTGTTGCAAACAGTGTGCCATTTCTTGTTACAGTGTTAAACGGGAAAGAAAAAACGTTATTCATGCAGTAAAATGAATCAGGGTAAATTATTAATAAAATATCTTAGTTCTATCCTTCTATTTGCTTTATTTTAGTTTTTTTTCTGTTTTTTTGTTTTTTTTTTTTTTTTAGGAGGACTTATGTCTTCCCTTTATCCCCATACCCAATTTGTAGTAAAAGCTGAGTGCCAGGTAAGCCTTTCAATTTTGCTATCAGTCTTCTCTGCTTCTTAAGCGTTTCACAGGTTTGCTGAAATCAACTGCTCTCCTGCTGCTACTCTTTCTCAGCAGGGAACTTAGTTCTCAGGTATTTTATTCTCTGCCCCTGGAAATCCTATACAATAACACATTGGTCAGTGACATTCTCTACATATTCTTGTAAACCTATCTAGTCTCTCAATTATCTTCATGCTGAGTGGAAATTGTGTAAAGGTTGCCTGCATGTATCTTAGGATTTTGAAAACATCACAGACCAAATATTTATGCAATGGCTGTGCAATGTCTTCAAAACCTGTGGATGTCCTTACAGAGTTTCTGTCTTGATTTTTACCTTTCTTTGTTCTTTCATTCTCTGCCAAGAAAAAAAATTACAAAAAATTATACAAACACCACCACAACAAAAAAAGAATAAATCTTGAGATGAATAATAGCAGGTGACTTACAGGTTTATTATTCCAGCAACCATTTGTTTCATTAGAATAAATATTAAGTTAGCAGTCATAGTGGTTAGTACAAAGAAAGAATTTCACATGGGGATTATACATAACACACCATGTTGTGTGGTTGACTGTTTGCTCTTGAGGTCCTACAAATGAAGTTTTAACAGCTTAAGATGAGTTAAGCACCATTTGTTTACCCTCAAAATCAAACTAGGTTACTAAATTGTCTGGGGGAAATCCTGGATAAATACAAACTATAGTAAATGTATACCACAAGCTAAATTCTAAATAAAATCAATTTTATTTACTTCAAGTGTACACACTCTAATTGCACAGTAGCTTTAATTCCGTGATGTGGGGCCGCGGGGGCTGCCGAGAGCTACTCCTGCCTGACAGGGCAGAACGGCATTCTCCGGCGGCGATCGCCCTTTCCCCTCAGGACTGCGGGCCACCGAGCAGCAGCCGCAGGCGAACACGTTCCGTTTGGGGCGCTGTTGAAGCCGCCGTGCCCTATCGCTGATGATCTGATTACACCCTCGGCGGAGACGCCGTCTGGCAGCTCCAGCACCGGGGCGGCACCCCGTTACCGGAGAGCTGGCGAGCGGAGGAGAGCGGCGGAGCTCGGGGAGGGCGCTCCGAGCTTCCTGGGGGCCGCGGGGAGGGAGGGCAGCGGGTAGCAGAGAGCAGCAGCGGGCAGCACCGCTCTCCGGCCCCGCCCGCGGCTTCAGCACCGCGGACAGCGCCCAGCAGCTGGGCGGTGCTGGGCGGCCGGGTGGGGGTCCCGCGCACGCCGCTGCAGGCACGGCGCCACAAGGGAAGTGCACCGCGCGCCTCCCGGCACGCGCACCGGGTGTCGCGCCGCAGACACAACACGCGCGCAGCGTGGGCACCGAGGCCCACGCAAGAATCAGCGGGCGTGCACGCGCCGAGGCGCGCGCTCACACACGCGCGAGACTGCGCAGGAGCACGAACCCACGCGCAGCCGCAGCACCCAAACATCGCGCCACGGCACGGCACGGCACACCCCGCCGCACGCACTTTCACGTGCCCCGGGACACGCGCGCTCGGTCTCCCACGAGCACAGTCACACCTGCACACCCGAGACCGCACGCCGCGGGAGCGCGCCCCGCCACCGCCAGGCAGAGGCGCACCGGCGCTGAGCCGCACGCAGGTGGGTGCACACACACGCACACACACGCACACACACGCACACACACGCACACACACGCACACACACGCACACACACTATCCCTAACGCACTCCAGCCCCGCACCTACCGCCACGGGGCGGCCCGCCTGCCGACAGCCTATGGCGCAGGGAGTCCCCCGTGTGAGCCCCCGCCTGCCGGGGCGCAGCTACCAATGGGAGCGCCCGGAGGGCGTGGTGCTCGTGGCCCCGCCTCCTTAGTTAAGGCGGGTGAGGGTCTCTCAGTGGCGGGAGGCGGGGGTGTAAAGGCGGAGTAAGGCTCGCGGTCGGCGGCAGGCACTGATTCGCGCACGGCCCTCCCCGCCCCCACCCGCTCCGCGCGGCGCGAGGGGACGGCGGAGGCGGCGCCGCTGAGGGCAGCGCTCCGCCGCGGGAGTGGCGGGCGGGCGGGCGGTGCACCTGCGAGCGGCGAGACGAGCAGGGCGAGCGCCGAGGAGCCGACCGGAGGCGCGCAGCGAGCCGGCGGCCGCGCAGCCCGGCCCGGCGTGTCCAGGCGCCGCGGCCGCGAGGCGATGGAGCAAGAGAAGTACCTGCCCGAGCTGATGGCCGAGAAGGACAGCCTGGATCCCTCCTTTGTTCACGCGATGCGCCTCCTGGCAGACGGTAAGGCTCCGCTCGCAGGGGCCCAGCGGCCGCCGCCGCCCCGCCTCTACCCCGGTGCGGGGCGCGGGCCACTCTTCGTGTCGGCGCACGGCAGCCGTGGCTGGGCGCCAGCTTAGGAACTCGTGTGTCCGTGCTGGCGTCGGGCCGGGCGTCGCGGCCCCGCTCCCCCTAGTCTCGGCGCTGAGACGGGCCCGCGAGCGGGGACCTGGTTACGCGTGGACGAGGCGAGGCGAGGCGCGGAGCTGCCCGCGGCCGGACAGCGGCAGTTCGTGGGGCTTGTGTGGTCCCGGACGCTGCGCCGGGCTTCTTGTTGGGGGAGCCCGTCAGACGGGGCTCTGCTGTGGCCGCCTCAGCTGGCAGCGAGCGTGTGCCTCTGCTCCTCGCTTTGGGAAGCGGGCTGCCCTGGCTGCTCGGTGGTGGTCCACCGCCTCCGCTGTGCTTGGCTGCCCGCTGCGGGAAGGGCTTCCGTACTTCACGGTCTTATTTGGACAAAGGCAGGCGCTGGTTTCTCATTAAACTCATTATTTCTTCTTTCCCATGCTGAAGTAATACGGTCTACATGGTAATGCTATTGTGCCGTTAATGGGACACTGTTCTAGTTGACTGCACAATGTCAAGCATTGATTGGATATGGCTTATCAATTTCATGACACTGTTTCATCCAGGACATTGAGCACTTTCTCTTGGCATCGTATGAGGATCCAGAATCTGCTGCTTGTAACAATTTTGTGTTCATCTTAATTTACTCTGCTTTCCTTGCTTTATGTGAGCTAGTTCTACTGGAGATTCTTGAAAAAAGTTTATCATTTAGTTATCTTTTTGTATCTACTCAACATAGTTAACTGGGTGCAGGCCTTGTGGTACAGCATTTAAATTCCTGCAGAAGTGTAACCCAGTAATTTCTGTTTATACTTCTGTTTCTTCTGAGGTATATAATAGTAACTTCAAGAATCCTTGTTAAACTTGGAAACTAATGTAAAAAAAGTATTAAAGAACAGCACATAAATGAGGACAACCTATCAAACACTTGATGGAAGCTAGCGCAAAGAAATGGTTAGGCCCTTGACAAAGTCACAAATTAAATGCACATTCAGAGGTGGTGAATAATTTCCGAAGTTCTGTTATATCTTAAGGAAACTCGTAATGGATTAAAACTTGGACTGGCAGCAGTAATTGTCTGTGTCTTGTCATCAGTCTATGTAATTACTGTTGACTGTGAATGAAGATACTCAGTCCGGGTTTTGTTTGAGTGCTTCTGTTTTATAGCTTGGAAATTCAGTATGAATACCGACACATTTAGCACACTTTTGCCATAGCTACCTTGCTGCCGAAGGGTCAGCCACGCTACTTTTCACAGTTGTTTTTCTAATAAACATATGACAAAGAAAGTCCTTATTGGAGGGATGTATTTTTTGCACCTTGCAGTTCGGTCTTTTCCCAGAGGGGGGAGGTATCTACTGAGAGTGTGTGCTTGTATGCATGAGGAAGGAGGAAAATGCATGAAGGACAAAATCGAAAGTGTGCAAAGTTAAAAACAGGGAATAAAATAGGTGTTTCTAGGGATCAAGTCTGTTTGTAAATTGTATTTTGGACAACTGAGATCGAATAAGTGATTAGTTTTCTCATTCCTTCTTAGTATAGGGAGGACTGCATGTGTTCTAGTGGATTTTTAAAAGATGAAGGTGAGTTGGCTGTAGGGAATGCTAATGTCAGATTCACACCAGATACCTGGCATTATCTTTCAAAACACCATCTGTTAAGCTTTCTAGAGATTCATTTTGGAGCCTAATATATGATGGCTATTAAAACAGTTTCATCAAGTTAAGAGTATAGCTACTTTAAGGAAACAAGAATTAATGTGCTCATTGCTGCTGGATATAAATAGAAGGGAAATGTATAGAACTGGCAGATTTATTTTTCTTTCTGAATGCCCAAAGAACATGGGTCTGTGGTGCAAGGACCTCCGTGATGTTGTATTTCTGGCATATGTCTGAGACAAAGCATTATTTCCCTACTCTGGATTTCTTTTCTTTAAAATGCAATGTACGCTCAACTACATATATAAAAATAGCAGCCAGGTGTTATTTTTCTGGTATACTAAGCTTTCTTGATTGCCAGTAGGTTTTGTATAAAATGCCTAAGTGTGGATTTGAAGGTTTCTGCTTCAGAGTCGAAAGCCTCAGGCATTCATGCTGACTTGAAAGTGCTGTGATTTTTCATGTGTGTTGCTAGAACCTGAGGTTGAGAAGAGACATGCTGCTGTCTAAAGCTGCAGATGGGCACACAAGTGATAGGCGTTCCAGAAATATGTTTCAGTTTATGATACTGTATTTTTTTCATAAAGATATGACCCCATCTTGTCTCTGTTTTTTGTTGTTTGCTTGATTTATTCTTTTTCCTTGTGTGTTTTGGTGTACTTAAGTAATTTGTTACCTTTAAAATAAGTTATGTTTGTAATATAATAGTCTATGTCCTACAAGCTGACCTGTGTCAGGTACATGCTTGAATTGGTAGCTATTTACCCCTCACCACTGAGGGATCAATAGAAATTATTTACTTTAGCCATTATTTGGGTTAGAGCCTGCATGGTGTGTTGTGTGGTGAAACCCACAGAAAAGGGACGTTTCCTGTGGCAGAGATTTTGTGTACTTGCCAAGCAACACAAAGAAAGATAAGGAATGTGTATCTAAGACGTGCTAGTACCATCTTAGATACAGAGTGTAAACCCATAAACAAAGAATTTCTCTTTAAAAAAAAAAAAAAAAATCAGTGAGGGGAACCTGTGCTGGATTCTGAAAATTAACCCAGTCATTAAATGATTAATATAGTGCCTTAATTGGAAGATATTTTATTTCCCCTTGGGTCATTACCTGTTTCATACAGAAGTGTTTCCTACATGATTATTACACTACTAGAAATGGAAAATCTACTGAAGTCATAGAATCATAAAATGGTTTGTGTTGGACATCTAAGTTCCAAGCCCCCTGCCATGGGTAGCGACACCTCACATCATATATTAGAATATTATACTATTGTTATAGTATAATCTAATCAGCAATGAAAACAAAAGACCTGTTCTAATACGTAGCAGAACTCTAAAGAACATGCAGAGAGTTTTTCTGTATTAACTGAACTATTTTGTGCACCAGACTACAGTCACTGGAAGGATTACACTGTTCCATGGATAATTGTAAATGATTTTACTATAAACTGGTTACAGATAGTTATTTTCTTAGGCAAAATTGTATTGCTTCTAGCCAGGCGATATTCTGATCAATGCATGATGTCAGATAAGGCTTGATCAGATGAAAAATACCAGAAGTGAAGAACTTGTTGTTGAGCAGGACTTTTTGTATTTGTGTTTATGCCGCAGCAAGCTCTAAAGTTCCAGTGACAACTGAGAGGTTCTCCATTCTAGAGCTACTTCTTACCATGGTAACTAATGAACTGCTTATGTGTGTTATTTTTGCATCTATGTAAATATCAGTTTGCGTTAGGTGTCTATGATTATGAATATAAATATAAATGTGTGACTTCAGTAGTGAAGGTGTAGATGGCATAGAAAGCTACAACCAGCTAGAACTGTTTTGGAGTTCAAAACTTGTTTTATATCAGTGTTATTTTTAATAAATTGAAGTGTCAGCTAATTGTCTATATACTTCTGGAGCAAACAAGATTTTATGTATGTCTGTATATTTATATGTGTGTGGCTTTGGACTGTCTTACATACTATGTTATTAAAGCTAGGTCTGCATTTTGTAATATAAACATGAAGAGCTGGCCAAAGTAAGATCAGCTCTCCCCGTGGAAATATCAGCATTACTTGGGTAATGAGGTAGCTAATTTCTCTATGTAATGACAGTACAATTGACCTCATACTTTCATTTTGGCATTTGGAAGGCAATTAAGAATCAGGCCTTTAACTTTTATCTTAAGTCCCTAGATTATTCCACGTGGCATAGCACGAGTTTGTTAAACCTCTAGTCGTGTCAATTAGACTCATACAGCTCAGTGTCATAAAGCTCCTTATAGGACAGAACATGATTATTCAAAATGTATATAATTGCTTAGCCTGTACACTCAATAAGCATTAGTACAGTCTTTCATACAAGCATGCAATAAATGTTCTAGTCTGAAAACTGTTGATGTAATGGAAATTCATTTTGTTTCATGTTCAGGATTTCAACTAACATGTTGGCTTATGTGGGTTTTGGATTTCTTTGGACTTCTAGAGATTTGTTTTTCATATAAGAAGGCAGATTTAGTTAATAAGTGTATGTTTCTATTAAAACCTGGCAATAATAAGATTGCCAAGACAAATAATTTTCATATAGCAATTTGGAATATGACAGTCATCCTTGGCCCAAGATGTGAAAGCTGTTGGTCAAGCCTGTGTCCTGCTAAAGTCAGGCCTCTGCTACTTTTTAATTTTTATAAAATTTTCCATTGAAAACTACTTGAGAGAATATACTTGCAAAATCGATTAGACAGCACAAACTAATACATTAGATATTAATATTAATCTGTGAGCAGTCAGTTTTCTGCTTATGGTTTCTTTTTTCCTGATGTTTATATCAGGTGAGAAGAAATCCGTGTTCACAAAATAGTTTGTATTAATCATTGTGTACTTTGCTGCCCCAAGGAATGCAGTGTAAATAACTGGAAGACTGACTTGGGAAATACACTCATGTTTAGAGCATGTATTTTAGATACTTTGGTTTCAATAGAAACTAGGTTTACGTATCTGTCATTTGAATCCTTTTCAATAAAAAGGGAGTAATATCCGTGCAAGCTCTAGATGAATACAAGGTACTTAAAATTTATGTAATGCAGTGATGTGCATTACAAACTCGGTTGAAAGCTCACTAAAGCTAATGGGAATCTCCTGTTGCCATTAGCGTGCTATCAGGCAATCCTTACACCTTACACAAATATAATATATTGACTGATGTAGCTAATATCTCTGTAATCATGAAAATCAGGAGAATATACTGCAGGCT